TTTAGCATCTGATATTGTGCTACAATATACATAACACAAAATCCACCATCTTAACCACTTTAAGTGTCCAGTTCTAATGATTCACACTGTACAACAGTTCGGTACCTTCACATCACTGTGCAACCATCACCCCATCTGTCTCCAGGCCTCTTTGTGACACTTTATTGATTATCTATGAGCAGGAGACAGAAAATTGCCAGTTTGTTGCTAATAATGAAAATCCAATTTTAATTCAGAGAACAGTATGCTTAAAAGACTGTAGCTTGCTGTAGCTTGACTAGACTTCAATGACACTGATTAAACACGAAGGAAGGAGAGCACCGTGAGAGCATAAAGCTGCTAACAACTGGGGCCCACACTACAGAGGGGCAGGTGAGGAAAGGGAGACTGGGACTTCATCAGAAGTCAGGGGGACCTCTGGTGGGTTTGAAGAGAGTAGTGCATTTACTCACTCATTTACTGCCGACATTTTTGAATGCCTCTGTTTCAGGCACTGTACCAGCCACTTTAACTGGTCAGAGTTAAATCTTATCTTGGTTACACTAGAGATGCTTGGGTGCAAACAGAAGTTTTTGCAATTCTCCAGGTAAAAAGTACTAACTTAAGGCAGCAGCAGAGGGGATGAAGGCAAAGGCGGTGTGTGTTTTTAGTATTACCTGTTAACCAGGGCCAACATAAAACCACAGATCCCATCATTTTGCTCCTACTTTTGAAATCATTTGAAGGATTGATTTTTTTTTTTGGTAATATCACTATCAAAAATTTTTAAATTGCTTTTATTTTTTTAAATACTTGACAGTAGAATGCATCACAATTCTTATTACACATATAGAACACAAATTCTCATACCTCTGTTTGTATATAAAGTATATTCACACCAATTCATGTCTTCATACATGTACTTTGGATAATGATGTCCATCACATTCCATCATCATTGCTAACCCCCTGCCACCTCCCTTCCCCTCCTACCCCTCTACCCTATCTAGAGTTCATCTATTCCTCCCATGCTCCTTCTTTCCCTATCCCACTATGAGTCAGTCACCTTATATCAGAGAAAACATTCATCTTTTTTTTTTTTTTTTGGATTGGCTAACTTCACTTAGCATTGTCTTCTCCAGCTGCATCCATTTATCTGCAAATGCCATGATTTTATTCTCTTTTATTGCTGAATAATATTCCATTGTGTATATATGTCACATTTTTTAATTCATTCATCTACTGAAGGGCATCTAGGTTGGTTCCACAGTTAGCTATTGTGAATTGTGCTGCTATAAACATTGATGTGGCCATGTCCCTGTAGTATGCTGTTTTTAAGTCCTTAGGGTATAGACCGAGGAGAGGGACAGCTGGGTCAAATGGTGGTTCCATTCCCAGTTTTCCAAGGATTCTCCAAACTACTTTCCATATTGCCTGCACCAATTTGCAGTCCTTGCATTGATTTTTTTATATTTATTTTTAAGTTATAATTGGACACAATACCTTTATATTATTTATTTATTTTTATATGGTGCTGAGCATTGAACCCAGGGCCTTGCTAGGCGAGTGCCCTACTGCTGAGCCACAACCCCAGCCCATCATTGGTTATTTTGACCCGAATAAATTTTATGTGACACATTCAGGAAGTACTAAATAAAATCTGTCAGCAACAAAGAATCTGTTGTACAGATACAAATACATAAACTGAACACGTGTTACCTTCAAGGCACTGTGGTTAAAAAAAAAATGGTCTAATTAGATCAGCATCAGTGTGGTAGAAGATATCTGGCTTGAGAAGAGGAAAAGCTGTTATCTACAGGCTTCTTCTGAGCGAAAACTGGAGATGGCATAAATGTTTATCAGTGCAGAAAGTGGCCAAAGAGATTGCAGGAAATAAAACAATAAAATGTCATGCACTGGGTCCACTTTTAGTACCAAGGAATGGTCTCCAAAATACACTCAGGTGAAACAGGAATTATGGAATGTATTGTACAGCATAATGACATTTATCTAAAAACATCTATGTGTTTTTGTATGTACATTTTGTATTTACAAATATTTTCTCAGTAACTGCAGAGAAGAAGATCAGGACGTATAAGAGGTAGGAGGAGGAGAGAAAGGAGAAGGAACTTTTGGGTTGTATTCCATACAGCAATGAGAATGCATCCATGTGTTTCTCGTATAGAAAAACCACTTTTATAGGTTAGTATACCAAGTGAGAAGATTGCATTACATCACAAGCTTACAGCTCTTCCTTCTAGTCTTTATTGGTAATTCAAATCATATAACAGTCCTCATAATAACAGTTGAGAACAGTGTGCTTGTGCGTGTACGTGTTTTAATTTGTCAAATTGCTTTTAGACTGTAGTTTTAAATGACTGGAAGTTACGTATATCAGAGGATATTTGAGATGAGAACATATTGGCTATTGCCAAGGGTCTCTCCTTGAATCACAAGAAAACCCTTTAAGAGAGCTAAAGAACATATTTAATTTATTCTCACTTAAGTCATTAACTATATATTTACTTTTAGTATTTTTTTTTTTTTTGCAAATGAGCAAAGCAATTCACAGCAATCTTTGATCTTGCAATTTAAAACACACTGAAATAGCATGCAAGTAATGCCTTCCTATTTTCAAAATTATATTTGAATTGCATGCTGAGGCCAGGGAAATAATTTGGCTACAGTAAAAACGTCCTGGGTCTAGGCTCTAAGACATATGGGCTCAGACAAGGGTTTTGTTTTCTTGGTTGCCAAATTAATATCTCCTAGATATACTAACTAGCAAATCAGACAAGCAGTGGTGAAGACTTTATATATTTTTAAACTGTATGAAAACATCTGCAAAGGCCATTCACAGAAGTCTGTTTGACAATGGCTGCGTGGCTACAATCGAAAAATTAATTCGCAGCACTCACATGGCACTTTCAGGGCCTCCTTCCAAATGGAGCTTTTAAAACAGACTAAAATTGAATTCTTCTCAGTCTCAGCCCACTTGAAGTTAAAAAAAAAAAAGAAAAGAAAAGAAAAGAAAAAAAGCAAGATAGTAGGTGTAAATGACTAAGAAGGGCCCTCCAGGGGTGCTCTGGAAAGCCAAAAGATTGGGAGCTGCATGCAGAATGTCTCCATAACAAGTCTAGACTATCTGTAATCTTCTGGTGGTGAAGAAAACCAGATTATCAAGAAACCTTGTGGAGCCAACAGTTACAGGAGCACAAAATGCTGGGAAACCCAGGACAGTATGCAGAAAAGGATTCCAGTATTCCTTTACACTATTATCTGTGACCCAAGTGACATTTAAGAGTGACTCCTATCATGAATGCAAAAGACGTGGCAGGAGGAGGGCGACAAAGCAGGAAGAAGATAAAGACTACAAAATCCATTACACTAACGTTTCATGTTCTCACCCGGAGCAGAGGGAGGTGAATGTCACAGCACAGGACGAGCAGATGAATTGTGGACGAAATTATTGATTTTTAATCTCACATATTGTATGAAATGGGAACTGCATTTCCCAAGTCTCTCAAGGTTCTGCTTATATTATATTTTCTTCCTGGAGAAATAATCCTTATCTGATTAACATAAGCAGACAAAACATCTCACACAAAAGATTCAAATGAGGAATGGGTCGAGTTTCAGGACTTTAACCAGATCTATTTTGATTGCCCGTAACATTCTTTATGACTCAGGGCTGCTCCCCAACTTGAAGGAGATTTTGTGTGAGCTAGACAGCTATTCTTTCTGCAGATGTAACTTCACTGTGGGGATACACGTGAGCAAAGAGGTTGCCCTTTGTGTATATTTTTAAATGTATGATTGTTTCTAGGTGGGCTTCAGGCATGAGGGATAGAGAAGCACAGGCTACATTTCTGCCCAATTTACACCTTTGGCTGGGTGGTCTTGTGTAGTGAACAACATGTACAACTCAGGAAAGTTACTCTTCAGTAGTTTCGTTTGCCTATATGTTTCACTTGAATGATTCATTGGGAAAGATTAAACAAGCAAGCTGTTGAGGAAGCAGTCCCCATAATACTAGAACGTCATTTTTAAAATTACCTGAACCTATTGTTTTAAGAGACTGCATCAGAAAAAAATGTACCCCTGCTGTGGTTATTATTTTAGCTAAGAGTTGAAAAAAATCAGATCATGATATAATGAGATATTAAAAGACATGAACAATTAACACTGCTTTCCTATTCCTTTTATAGAGCAACTGTGCATGCCCTCTTTTCTATTAGCCACGATGGTTTCAAAATCCACATCATTTTAGCAGAGCTATTCTTAAAGAGAAAGAATGAGGTGACCAGTACCACCAACAGCAAACAGAAAGTGCATTTTCCACTTTTTCTTGGGCCTGGTCCTCTAGCAAGCACGTTCATTTTACTTGTAACCAAATAGGTACCCTAGAAAATTGCTGCACAACAGACTATGAACTCATGTGATATTTGAAATTATCTTGTTGGTTTCCTCCCCTCTGTTCCCCTTACTCCCATACCCTCCTCACATAAGCACTAGCATCCAAATATCCCAGGAGCAGTGAATGGGGGCTCTGGAACCACACCAATCCAGGAGAGAAATACAGCAGGAAAACAAAAACCAAAACCTAGGAATGACTCATTGCCCACCAAGAGATGTGAGAACTTCTGGTGCTAGAACACTGCCCACTGCAGCTCAGACCAGTCCAGAAGAGGACGGTGTGAGTGACAGCAACATCCTACTCCAGCCACGGACACTGAGGCACAGGCAGGGAAGGAGACACACAGGAATCAGGAGGAGGAGTAGGGTGGGGGAGGAAGACATGGATGGGCAGGGAAGGAAGGCTCAAGACCCCTGGCTTTGTTTTTTCAACACGAGAACCTTGACCCGGATGGTCTGGCCAGCTTACAGGGAGGCTATTTGCCACATGAGTTTTAATAAGTCCCAACAGCATCTTTCCTTTGACTTCACATTAACAAAACCCTGTTTTGAAATGACTTTCAACAGTTTCCTCTTCAAGGGGAAAAAAAAATCCCCTTTCCTTACCTCAATGATATAGAGGACTACATTCTTGTAGAAGCAGTATAATATGCACTTGGTCACCCGGATGTAGCTCCAGGCTCCATGTACAAGCAGGAGCTTCTCCAAGTAAGAAAACTGCAAAAGGAAAATATCAAAGTTCAGAAGAGCCTGTAACAGAGGAATAAATGTCACAAAATGTGTTTTTAAGCAGAAAACAGATAAAATAGGTACAGGAAGCTAGATTTTGCAGAAAACCTGAGAAGACCATTCCCTCAAGGTGGAGCTTTCCATGAGAACAATAAAATCTCAAATCTATCTCGTTAGTACCTTCCCCAAATGTACTTCTGGACTTCCTATTGTGATTTTCACAGAATCTGTTTAGTTATTTACTTATTTTGATACTAGAGATTGAACCCAGGTTCCACTGAGCTACATTTCCAGCCCTTTTAATTTTCTGTTTTGAAACAGGGTCTTGCTAAGTTGTTGAGGCTAGCCTTGAACTTGCAGTCCTCCTGCTTCAGCCTCCCAAATAGCTGGGATTATAGGTGTGTGCCATCATGACCAGCAACAGAACTGTATTTAAACTAATACTTTTTAAGGGTCTTAATTATTACCAGAAGGTGACCACTGGAACTGGAAGAAAAGTACAATGAATTAGATTCCTCTACATAATCCTGTCATAGATTTTATGGTGAGCAAAGGGACAGGGACACTTATGCAATAATGTCTTGCTTAAAAAAGATACACACCCTTGAACACACAAATTGTTCCCACTGTCAGCCTGCAAGTTACAAAAAATTACACATAGAAACACACACACATACACAACAGAGCTAGTACACAAAGGTACACAAACACACATATAGACACACGGTCAGAGGCACATTAACGCCAACACACAGATACACAGAAATTTATATACATACACAATGCCCCTACTTCTATACCTTTGTTCATCTTTTTACTCTAACTTGCCCAGAGCACCCCTTATCAGAGTGCTGTACAGTCACAGCAGTTGAGTGATTCTAGCTGAGAGTGATGTAAAAGCTCCTGCAGGTTGAGATGGGAAGCAACAATATCCCAATGAAATCCATGCATCCTCGTTGAGGCAAGGGTCTGTCAGTCTCCCATTAGCCTGGCTTTGCCTTCTGGGTCCAGGAGTATGACCTAAAAAGTGTGAACCTTAAACTGGAGAGAGGGTAATGAGGGTGTTTTTTTGTTATTGTTTGTTTTATTTTTGTTTTGTTTGTTTTCATTTGTTTCTTTGTAGATTACATCATGCTCTGGCAAGAACAAACTATTAGGGGAGAACTTGTTTAAGGTAATAATTCAGTTGTGCCCCATCCTGGTTGCTATTATGCTTTGGATGCGGTCTGTCCCTCACAGGGTCATGACACCAGTGTGGCACTCTGATGAGGAAAAGTCAAGAGGGAGGGGATTAGGACACTAAGGGCCTTGCATTCAGAAGGGATTCCCCACTTAATTCCTATAAGAGGAATTGCTATAGAAAAGCAGGCCTGGCTCCATCTCTGCCTTCCTGCCTCATTATGGTGATCTCTCGTTCTCGCGTGAGTTCCCATTATTATGTCAGCTGCCATGCTGTGATGTAGGTAGAGGGCCACACCAGAGGCAGCAGATGTTGGCACCATGCTCCTGGACCTCCAAACTATGAAAGGGATGAACCTCTTTTCTTTATTAAGTATTTTGTTTACAGGAACAGACTAATTCAGTTGCCTTAAATGAAAAATCTGAATTCATTCATTCTATGTCATAGTGTCTGAGGCCCCTGTTCCTGACTCGGTCAATGCAGAGACTTTAACCCTACAACCCGACTAGGAGAAACAATTGGGCTGTGCTGAGAATACCCTAAAACATTAGAAATTCTATTATTATTATAAACTTCCTATCAATTTCAGATAACTTTTGAAATTAAATTTAACTATCTGTAGAAAAGAAAGACTCTTACTTAAAATATTTTAAAAAACATGTCTTCAAGAGGAAACTACATAATAATTCCCTTTAGCACTAAAGAAGGTCACTGGATTGTAGGCAAAGTCACATTTCAATGAGTTCTTCCTGGCCACTCATCAAAATCTAGAGGACGACTTCAAAATGGCAGAAGTAGGTGCATATGGAAAAATAAAACTCCTCATAAAGGCTCATTAAGGATTCCAAAGGGGAATGGGGAATCATAAAATAACTAGCTAAACAAATAAAAAGGAAGTTTGCATTTGACCTGGACCTCCTGGTGTTAAATTTCAATGGGCACAGAGAACATCTGCTTGAGTCATCCCCAAGGCCTCAACCTGAGCGTTACAATGATTTGTTTTCAGGGGGGAAAAAGAACGAAAAAAAAATTACATCCTAAATCAAAATGCTGTCTTCATGAAGTCATTCAAAAGACATTAAGAAGGTAGGGGGCAGGAATGATTCTCTCCAGAGGAGAACGGGAAGCTGAGGACTCCAGGTGAAGTTTTATACCCACAGTCTCGGCTACCCAGAGCCAGGCAGACAGAGGACAGTTGTCTGTCTGGAGCTGCCCCTGTGCATGAGGCAGATGGAAAAGAAATGGAACCAGAGCTCGGTCTGCTTCACAGCTTTCCCAAGGGTAAGTCGTTAAGCTAAATATATTTTTTCTTCTCTACATCACCTTACAGGATACTTCCCTCATAAACACGATCAAAAAAGTGTTCACCCAAATTAAAGTGAACAGATAAAGCAATGTGAACGTCAATCAGCGATGTTTATCCATTCAGTGGGGACAAAGGAATTCACCCACTCATGGTATTTCTGGTGTAGTAATTAAGGTACAAAGAACATCATGTGGGGTGGAGATGAGGCAAAGTTAAGCATGAAATTGGCCCTGAAATAACAGCATCCCTGCCTAATCATGAACAGGACCACGGACAGGAGAAACAAAGGTCCAGAGACTCATGTGGCCTCCATCAGTACCTTTGGCAGAGACACCCATTACCCGGGGAGGGCAAGAAAACCCCCAAGGGGAGTTATAAAGCCCTGCTCCCTGCTCCACCCCTCTTTGACACTTTTAATCCGATGAAAGCAATTGCTCCAGATTCCACATCCTATTCGTATGCAGCTTCAATATGGAATCTCCCTTCCCTGGACATTTTAAAGAAAAAGACAGAAAAATATTTTCCTGGAACTCCTAGGAAACCTCTGATGATCTCTTCCAGCCATATGATCTTATAACTCAAGTATTTAATAATGTTGGGGTATATAACATCCACAGTTGCTGACAGCATACAGGAAGCTGGAGTCCCCCAGGCCTCTGAGCAGTGGACTGAGAAAGTAAACGGGCAGGTGTGCAGGGCGACTCCTGACTTCACAGGGGGTCCGCACTTCTCTGACCTGGGATAGGCCCTCAGACCTGAAACGGGTCACCTGATGCAAAGGAACCTCCATTTTCCCACCTGTAAAACCAGAATTTCTCCTCCTAAGCACTCCAGGAATCATCCCGAGGATTTATTTGATCTCAACAAAGGAACAAGGTTGATTTCGTGCTCTTTTCAGAGCCACTCGGATTTTGTAATTCCTCCCTGCATTTGCAGAACCTGGAACTGGGAGGGAATCTGAGCATGGATCTAAGGCAGCCCTCCTTTGGGGAAGGGGAGCCCCAAAGCTGCAGAGGACCAGCCCACAAGTCCTGGAGCTACAGGAAGTTTGTTCATGTTTTAGAGGCCACCCCCTGATTTCAGCTCGAAGCCACTCTTCCTCAGGTTCATGTGATTAAGGTTAACACAGACTTCAAAAGTCTAACCACAGAAACAGGAGAGAGCTCTTGCTAACCAGTGTACGAGCTGACAGTCACCGCATATTGTGATCTGGAGACGGGAGGAAATGCTCTGTGTTCCTCGGATGATGACATTTTCTGGATGATTTAGTAGGCCAGATGATCTGGACATGTGCCCTAGGGGTCAGGAGGTTGGCTCTTTTCCTTCACCTTTCGATATCATTAGGAACAGACATTTCTTTCATCCTTGAGCCACCTATACAGTAACCACAAAACACCTAAGAAATTCTGCATGCAATTCTCAATTCAGGGAGGAATGGAATGAACTTGGCCTGGCTGCAGGTGGTCACATGCAGGTGAGCATGGGTCACGATGGCCCAACCCGGACTCATGCTCTCAGCAATTTATCTCACAGAAGTGGTACTGGACAGCAACCTTGTCATGACTGCAGAGAGGGGGGAGCGGCTGTAAATCATTGCTTTTCCCTGACCTTAGACACTGAGTAGTGCATGCCAGCACCTTCTGCAAGAAGAGGTGCCACTGCAAATGGATGTTATGAGCACAGTTATTCTCCAGCAGGGGGACTTATACAAGGAAACACTTGGAGCATGAAAGGCGATCACTCACAGATCAGGGGCCCATCTGTCAGGAATGACATGTCACCTGGATGGCAAGAAATGACAGGTCACCTGGATGGACAGCCCTACTCTGACAAAGGAAATGGTGCCTCCAAACTGCACAGGATCAAAGGGATGGAGAAATCTGAATAACAGGACAACTGGTCACCCATGTGGCTGACCTGTGCAATAGCGTAATCCGAGTTGTTGGTGGCCTGCATGCCCTCATTGCCACTGATCCCCACACCCACGTGGGCTGTCTGGATCATCCCGACATCATTGGCACCATCCCCGATGGCCAGGGTGATGGCGTTCACCCGCTTCTTCACCACTTCCACTATTTCAGACTTCTGCAGAGGAGATACTCTGTGAGAGAAGAAAGAGAAATTATGACAACATGCGTCTTTCCAGAGGAAACAGCTGTCATCTACATTGAGCAGCATTAAAAGGGCAGTTATTGGCCAATCTCCAAATCCAATACATACATTTTATGCTTGTGTTCAAAGAAGCTTGCACAAAACAGTAGCTTGTGGCTTTCAAGTGTTTGCCAACTTCACAGATGAAATACACCACCCGAAGCTAACTTAAAACCCAGCCTATCTGCAATGGCTCTGCTCAGTTGGAACCACACGAGAGCAAACTCTTCAGGGAACCTGTGCCCTGCTGAACAATGAAGTCAGTTAAACTAGTCACAGGGGTCTTCAGAAACATCTTCCCAATAAATCAGAACACGAGCGCAGACCCCATGTGTTCTTTGCTGCACAGCACATATGACCTAGGGCTGGCAAGGGAATTTTCTGTAAAATCTGCTTTTACAGAAGGCAAAGAAAATTGGCAGGGCAAAAGAAAGAGCAGAAAGAAGGCCAGAGTAGGAAGAAAGAAAAGTGACCGGCTCATCTCCACCTAGAGATGGACAAGTGCTTGATGGACGGCTAGGGCAGTACTGAGGAGCAGCAATCTCAGGAGTAAAGGTCTACCATACCTGTACTTTGCAGAAGCACAGCCCAAAGGGGGAGAAGAAAAGTAGGCCCTGCCTAAGAGAGGTTGTCATACCAGTGATGGAAGAAGGTGGCCTAGTTTTCATAATTCCTCAGGTCATCTGGGAATAAGACCTACTGGAAATCTATGGTTCTAAAGCACACAAGCAATGTCAATTATCATGAAGCATTTAATCAGAGTATAAGACCACACAAACCAACAGTATTAAAAAAAATCACTAGTATCTCAGGACTGATTTATTTGAAATTTGGGATTGAAAAGCTTACAAATAAACACCTGAATCACTGGCATATGCACATATGTGTGCGCTCTCTCTCTCTCTCTCACACACACACACACACACACACACACACACACACACACACGCATACACATGGTAAACATAAAGTAAATGACTTCCAGGTTCCCAGAGGTCTCCTGCTGCACTCACACGTGGACTGTAATGTAAACTAGAATGGGCACTCAAAGACTTGCCTCGTACAACTACAACTACAAATACGTTGGCCTGTATCCACAAAGATATCCATTCCCAACAGAAAACCTAAAATGTTACCTTATATTTAATTTTACCGGTCTGGGAAGAAATGCATTTGAATGCAGCATGAAGCTTTTGCTATACTCTCAGTTACTAAGATATAAAAATAAGAGAGGTAGAAAAGCAGAAGTTTAGAGTTGAAGGGGCTTTAGAAAACATACCACATAGTCCAATATCTCCTTTTTCATTTTTGTAGGAGTTTGCAATGATAGAAATCCACTGCTTCCTGAAGTCGATCCAATCACTAAAACTTATTGTTGCTTTTTTTGTTGTTATTGAGCAAACTCATATGTGTTAATTCTTCCCCCTAGACCAGACCAAGTATAATTCCTCTTTCATATACCTGAAAGGCTGAAATATAAAGACATCTATCACGTTCTTCCCCCAAAGCTTAGCTTCTGCTAACTACTTTCTCAGTTCTTTAACTTTTAGTTAACAGCATGCTTCAGAATCTAAAAACACCTTATATAAGTATGACCCTCTAGGAGCTGAGAGCACAATACTGAACTGACTTTAATGCAGCCTAAAATGAAGTACCCAGAAGCTTTATTATTGCTTATCACTGAGTTTCTGGTCAACCCAAGCAATTTCCACGCAGAGGGGGGAAATAGCTGCATATTTTGCCTCCAAGTTTGTGCAACTGCTGAGCTGAGGGAGACAGGACAGCCCACAATTCTCATTCGCAACACAAAGGTGATTTCTCATTCCATTTTTTAACTCAACAGAATCAGAAATCAAATGTGTTATGCAGAGATATGGGAGTCAGAGTTAAATAAGCATGAACTTTTCCTCTGCCCATGCTAACCATGCAATCAGGAGAGGGATCCTGTGAGTTCCTGTCTTTTCACTAATGAAATGAAGGAAATGAGAACTGCCCACCTCATAAAATAGTGATGATATATTAATGTGAAACCATTACATTAACCAACAAGTGTGAAATAAGTGTTATTTCCTATTCCATCTAGCACAGGGTTATCTGCAAAGCCTTAGTTGGTGGGGATAAAAAATGAACATGTGAAAATTGCATGTCATCTGATGGTTCCCAAACTGTATGTGTAGGTACCTGGGAGGTGTTGCAGAGGATGTTTTAAATATTTGAGGGAAATACACCAATATCTCTCAGGTAATAGAGCAAAATACTAGCTGGAAGTACCTCTTCACAGTTTCAACATTAGATCATACTACATTCCTTCTCATGATCTATTTTTGTGAAACTGAGTTTTTATGGTTGTAATGACAGCAAATATGCTGTGAAAATCAATGTGGACTAGGAAATGAGGGAGGTGGTAGCTGCTGTCACCTTAAGATGAAGAAGCTATGTAGTGCTCCGTGGGCCTACCACCATGTACCACTGGAAAGTGATCATGATTATTTAAGGATGGAGGAAATAAAGATTATTTCTTCCAATGCATGTGCATTAGTGTTTGAAACACCTGCTAAGTTGTTCAGTCATAAGTACTTCTTAAATTATTTGACCTGACCTACTTAACAGTAAGACATGGTTTGATTTTTTTCCTTTGGCCTAGGGACTTGCAAAGGGATTATTAAGGATGTTGCACATCCACAGAGTCTGGAAGCCTCTGCACGAATCACTTCTCTCCATGATTATATTCATCACCCTAAATATGATCATTTCCCTGGGGGGGGGGTGAAACTTTGTCTGATGAGGCCATCATGTAATCTTGTACTGTATTTCTGCATCCATGAAAATAATGCAAGAGGACAAGGAACAGAAACTGAAGCATTCCTGGGCAGGCTGGGGCTACCACTCCTCAAGACTGTGTGTTCTTCAAGTCATCAAACAGGCCGGACTTTTTGTCAGTAAATCTGAGGCGGTGTGGAGAGAAAGGGAGCCAGGGCAGAAGAAAGCTTGGTCGCTTCACACCGCGGGAGGATGGAAGGATCATGGTGGTCTGGATGTGAGATGTCCCTGAAAAACTTACATGTGAGACAATGCAAGGAGATTCGAAAGAGAAATGATTGGGTTGTAAGAGTCTTAACCCAATCAGTGATTTAATCCCCTGATTAACTGAATGGTAACTGAGTGGTAACTGGCTGGGGGGAATTGGGGTGTGGCTTTGGGTCTATATTTGTAACTGACGAACAGAGAGCTCTCTCTGCTTCCTGAAATGATGTGAGCTGCTTCCCTCTGCCACACTTTCCTGCCATGATGCTCTTTGATGCCTCAGGCCCTGAGGAATGGAGCTGGCCTTCTATGGATTTTTAATCTTAATTTGTGACCTGGAATCATAAGCCACACTCTGAAACTAGGAGCCCATTAAATAAACTTTTCCTCCTCTACAGTTGTTCCGGTCGGGTCTTTAAGTCACAGCAGTGAAACAGCTGATGAAAACAGGGGTGGAATAGGGAAGTGGCTAAACTAAATTGATCAATAGTATTATTTGAGGTCAAAGTTGTAGGTTTTCTATCAGGAGATGCTACAGTTTGGGTCTTAAGTGTTGCCTAAAAGCCTGTGTGTTAGAGGTTTACTCTCCAGCTTGGAGTTATTAGGAAGTGGTGAAGTCTTTAAGTGGAGGTCTTCAGATCACTAGGGTATGAGCCCTCAAAAGTAAACAGGGACCCCCGACCCTTCTCTTTCTTTTTTTCATTTCCTGGTCCTGAGGTGAACAGCTTTGGTCAGCCACATTCTTGCTATCATGATATGTTGCTTTGCCATAAACTCAAAACAGTGGAGCTAAATGACCAAGGACTGGGATCTCCAAACCTATGAGCCAAAATAAACCCTTTTTCCCTTATAAGTTGATGATCTTAGACAATTTGTTACAGTAACAGAAAGCTGATTTACACAGAGAATTTAGAGATAAGCTAACCAACTGGAGATGAGCTGCAAGTCAAATAAACTCACTTAGGCTTGCTCTCTGAGATTTGGACCTCAAATCAGTCAGTCAAGTCATGCTTTCCATCCTTACAATATGAATATCCAACAGCTGCCTTTTTTCCAAACAGCAAAGTAAAGGGTATATAACACGAGTCATATCCCAGCATTTTAGGACCATGAAATTCTCATCAAGGATTTATTATGCCCTCAGCTGAAATGCCTTGAGAAAACATAATTCTAGCACACACTAGGGGTTCAAAACAGATGTCAAACAGGTAATTTCTACAGAACTGAACAGGCACTATTACACTTCAGCCATATGTAGTATTTTAGTATGCCAAGTTGCCACGAAGCACAAGCCAGCTCTTTTTTAATCTTAATTTGTGACCTGGAATCACAAGCCACACTTAATAAGCTTTCCCAGGGTATGATACATTCATCCCATAAAATAAGAACTCCAGACCACTTCTGAGCTGATCGAGGTGCTTAGGGTATTTTATAACCTACTTTTGTACATTATGAATAAAAACATACACTCAAAGAATTCAATCAACTGGAGAGATAGTCTACCACTTTTTTTGGCTAATACAATAGATTCTAAAATAAGAAGTTTCCCTTTTGAGATTTTTTTTAAAAAATCAATATCCTGGAGTAACTCATTTTACGGGATTTACATTCTTGAAATTTTAAAACTAGCTTTCTGAAATTATTTCAAATGTAGCACTTAAATTAAATCATGGGCAACTGCTTTTGTAGAATTAATGTTCATTCATTAATTTAATCTGGCCTATAAAAACCTTGGTCTCAGATTGAGTTTCCCAATTCTGATCTTATAATATAGTTTGAGCAAGCTTAAGCAAATTCCTTTTGCTTAAAGTCTCTTTCTCAAAGCCCAGCTGCCCAGTTTGCCAAAGAGAGACTGGACCTAGATTTTATGTATTTGTATACTGAGGTCACCTGAGCCAGAGGAATGTCAAGAAACTCCACCCAGAA